GACAATGGCAGAATGTTCAGAATGTAACAACATCCAACACGAAGGCAAGAAGGTTAAAAAAGTCTAGTGGGAAAATGTTGTCAATTAATTAGCTGCACAAGAAAACCAGGTAAGTTTGGGGTTGTTATGGACAATTAAGAATATGAACAAGCAAGTTGAGAGAATTTTGGAATGAATGAGCTATAGAGTTTGCATTTTTATCAAGTCTCCTTAGTTTGTTTGCTATATGATTGTTCTAAAATCTAAAATCAATGGGCAGATGGCGGGCGAGTGTGGTTTTGAAAATTGGTCAAAACCTTGGGTGCAAATGGACAGCGGGCGGATGATGAGTTTTGTGTCGCGGTTGCGGATGAAAAAATAGCCCATCTGCACATCTCTAGTGTGTGAGAGGGGCATGTACACGTGGAGTGTTCCAAACACAAAGTCAGACAGTTCTGTCATGGCACATCCAAAATTCTATATTAGTGGTGCCTCTGCTGGTGTTTACTTGCATCGTGAGGCTCCGGAGCTGTTTTATTGTCACATATATAAGGTTTCTCCACAGCCTCTGTGCTGCCTGTGATGAGGCAGAGACTGCACACTTTACCCACACTGGCACTGATTTTAAACACCACAGCGCTCACAGATTGGTTCAGATGTCATCACCATATATGTACTTATACCGTCCTACTCCAGCCTCCAGCAGCCAAGTACAGACCCACCTGGACATGTGTAACCCACGTCTAATACAGAGACTTTTATTTTGGCGAGTCCACTTCCTGTTTTGGTGCCCCGCACTTTCCAGTTCCTTTAAGTGCATGCACTTTACTTCCCCTCAGTCTCTGCTGCGGCTGTGGCCTGGTCTGTTGGCAAATTACCCAAAGTAAGTTCTGGAGCTCTGACAAATGACACATTTCACCTGCGCTGTAAGAGCCTCCAGACATGTTTACAAGACGGGCCTTGGACGGAGAGTTTTAGCCCGTGGAACTCAAGGTCAGGTTTTTTTGTGGGTGGAATCCACGACTGAATGAACTGAAAAATCTCAACTCAGCGAACCACCATATGTCGAGCTAGAGACCTGTGTGGTAGAACAAACTGTTTCTGTTTTGTCCTTTGCCTGAACCTTCTCAAACATGAGTCATAAATCTCGATTTCCAACCCGTGGATTATACAGACTGTACTTCTGGAACCGTGGATTATAACTGTTACAATTCCCAAATCGTGGATTATAATGGAATTCTCATGAACAGAAATTACCTACTTTTTTGACAGACACAAATGTATTTTTTCCCCTCCCCAAAAAAAGTGGAAGTTGAACTTTTGTGTTTTGTTTGTTTATAATTTCTCTTTGCCTTTCACTTTATCTTCAATTTTCTTATATAATAATCAAAATACTGTTTGGTGGTTTTCATTCGCACCCCGGGCTCCTTCAACGAACCGCTCTTCTGGTCCTGTTAACATCTTTAGCTGTAGTCGTGTTGCCAAGCCTCAAAATTAGCCAGATTTGGACATTTGGACCAGATCTAACTCCTCATATACTTCTAATATCATGACCATAAAACACAGCGCTCACTCACAGCTCTCTCCTGAAGGTTACTGGCTGTGGCATAGACCTGTCACTCCTGAGGGAGTCACATCTGGGACCAGGTTCAGATGGAGGCTGTTCCTGGTTTATCCTGACACACAGAAGAAAACACACTTCAGTCACAGTAAAACACATGGGACTGTTCTGACTCAGGTCAGATACTTCAGGAGGTTCTACAAAGTGTTCATGAGGGCTTCATCACAGACGCTTCAGTACGGTACACTCAACAACAAACACATCCAGTTTAGATATTTTTAAAGTTTGAATTATGGAACAAAGAACAGACTTGTGTGTCTCATTCTGATTTGAATGTGATTCTCTGTGAACTGTGGACCAATCCTGGACATGTTTTTATTTCCTTAAAACCACATCACCCACATTATATCCAAATGTTTGTTGACATAAAGTGGTGACATTATAAGGTGTTGTGAGTGTGACTTACTGTGGACCATGTTCTCTTTTCAAATCAATCCCTCCATCATTAGAGCGATCACTGTTGAATGAGTCGGCACTGGTCCCAGGAGCAGGTCTGTGGACACAGATGGAGCAGTGGCTTTAGTCTGAGCTCTGACATGGAGAACAGTGGTGGAGGGTTAGAGATGGTCCCTTACCTCTGAGCTTTGGGGGCGTGAGTGGTTTTAGAGGGAGGAGCTCCATCCTCTCTGTGTTTTCTCTGATCCATGCTCTGTTCATTTGCTTCAAAAGGAAAAACACACAAAACCTTCATCCCAAACAACACAAATGTTTAAACATGTCACAAATGTTTCTCTCCTCAACACACACTTACATTATTATGTCAGCCCCGTTTGGAAACGGACTCGTTTGGTCCGGATCAGAGTTTGTTTGTCTTTATTCACACCTGAAATAAAGTAGTAGTTCAGATATTTGCTGAATTCATTGAATCCACATTTTTGTTCTCCTTTGGATCAGTCCTTGGTTGTGTTTTTGTTTCACTGAAAAAGGTTTTTAAAAAACCTGCGTCCTTATTGTGAGTGGGCTTGCCTCTCCACAAACCTGACTCTCATTTGTCCTGAAGGAGGGTCTCCTCCTCCTCATGCCTCCTCCACAAATGCACACAGTGTTCCTCTAATGAATGCATTTGAACGGTAAATGTTGTAGAACAAAAGCTGCTGCCAAACGTCCCAAATGTGAAAAGAAGTTGATTGTATTTGAAAGTATTTTTCAGTCTCTCCACAGTTTGAGGAAATAAGACACAGGAATAAGAGCCACACCTTTGGACTGGAGCAGCACATCACCAGACCAACGCCTCACACTGCACAAGACAAACATACATCTGTGTGTGGACTATTTCCTCACTTTGTTTCACTCTTTTCTTTGCTTTCTATTTGACTTGTTGCCTCTGATTTCTTGTTTTCTGTGTTATTAGTTTGAATCGTGTCCATGGTTACAGAAAGTGATCAAAGTGTTGAACAGTGCAAATGGACTGACGTTCTACAGCACAGTGTTGGCTCCAACTTACTCACTTCTACTTAGTTACTGTCATTGGATTACAAGTACCTCAGTAGTGTAACGCACCAGTGTGAAAATCCTGGTGCTGAAATGAGGCCGGTCCCTCCTCAGAGGCAGAGAAGCAGCTTGGAGCTGAAATCACCCAGTAAAGTCTCTGTGACGTCATTTGAGACGTTTCAACAACTCCTGTGTTTCTCTCCATTGAAACGTCTTGAATCAAACACAAAAGCTCACATTTGATTCATTTAGACAAAACTGCAAACAAGTCGTCCCAAACTCATGGAACTAAGTGATTTTACTGAGCCACTAACTAAGTAGTGTAATAGATTACATTTTGAACAAGTAACTAGTAATGAGTAACTCAAGAGTTTTTCAAAGTCACTTCCCCAACACTGAACAACACACAACGTCACAATGAAGTGTTGACATGATGAAATAAACAGAATGATGTTTGAACGACTAAAAGGAGCTCTTGGTTTCTTCATTAAGACTCAGACAATAAACTGGAGCAGGAGACAAAGACTTTTACACATCAGTTAGTGCAAACCTGAAGGAAAATACTGCTTTTATAACAAACACAAACAATACAAATGCACTTTAGAAAGAATCAAGTCATACCTTGTTTGAAACAGCTGAAAGAGGCAGAGGGAACGAGTCTTGAACACCAGCAAATGTTCAGCTTTTATAATCTACAATTTTGTGACTCTGGACTTTGGCCCTGAGACAGACGAGAATCTAATAAAGTACAGTGGGTGTGCGTGTGTGTGTGTGTGTGTGCGTGTGTGTGTGTGTGTGTGTGTGTGTGTGTGAGTCAGAGCAGGTTTCACAGCACAGGTGTGACATATTCTCGTCTCTTGGTATTTCACAAAGTCAAATCCTTATGAGAGAAAATATATGTTATATATTATATGTTATATATTATATGTTATATATGTTATATGTTATATGTTATATGTTATATGTTATACACTACTGGTCAAGAGTTTTAGAACACCACACTTTTTCCATTTTTTTCCTGTTTCCTGTTTGACCAAAACTTATTCTAAACTTTTGATTGATGTGTGTGTCCACCTTTGGCAGATAGAACAGCTGAACACACTTGTGGCTCGTTCTTTTTTACAACACAAATCAAATATTCTTCAGAAAGTTCTTCCCAAGTCTGTTGCAGAAGTTTCCATAAATGTGTGGCACTTGTAGGTTGCTTCACTCTTCAGTCCAGTTCATCCCAAACCAGCTCCGTGGGGTTTAAGTCTGGACACTGTGCTGCTGCTGGACACTCCAGGTTTTCAACTTTTACCATCTTGTTCTTTTTTCCTGAGGTGGTTTTGGCAGAGCTTGGACTTGTGTTTTGTTCTTTTATCTTTTGTTAACCTCTGTCTGTTCAGTTTTTACTTTTCGTCCATTTCAAGTTCTTCATTGGACTTGCACGACTTGAACTGTAATAAATAAATGGAAAAATGTGAGTGTTGTAAAACGTTTGAGCGGCCGTGTGTATTATATATTACATAGACTCCTGACACACAGTGACAGATCTCAAGCCTTTATTTCTTGACATTTTGATGATTCTGGCAGATACAGAAAATGAAAAAAAAAACAACCTAATTTCAGTGTCTCTGTAAATTTAAATATTAGACTTAGACTTATTCTTAGACAAACTTTATTGATCCACAAGAGAAATGACTTGGACACAGCAGCTCACACGTCACATTATATCACAATAACACAGAGTAAAAACAACAACAAAAAGAAGAAAATATATAAAAAATGTTAATACACTTTTAAATAAGTAGGACTGAAAAAATAGCAACAGACGGTGTCAATAAAACATAAATTATATAAATGTATGTAGAGCATGAATTAAAGTGAAAACAATCATCTGACTGAATTTGTGTGTGTGTGTGTGTGTGTCTGTGTGTATATATGTGTGTGTGTGTGTGTGTGTGTGTCTGTGTGTATATATGTGTGTGTGTGTGTGTCTGTGTGTATGTGTGTGTATATGTGTGTGTGTGTGTGTGTGTCTTTTAAGTTTAAACCAAGTGGATTTCAGTTTTGAAAGTGACAACACAAATGAGAGAGTCATGTGACGCTCATTCTGCTTTCTGATTGGACAATCCTCTTGAGAACCAAGCACAAGGACACATGTTTTTCACTTCATGTTTTACACAGTGGAGCTTTAAAGATGAGTATTGATAATAGTGAAATGTTCATGTCATAACTCCCACTGGTGTTGTTTTTACAACACTCCACTCTGATGTGTATTTCAGAACGCAAAGCTCAGAGGCACAACACCAATGTAAGTACTGTGAATATATGTGGGATGGAAGATGAGGAGATATGAGAGTGTGGGAGGGCATCTGACATGTGTGTGATTGACAGGTGGCCTCGGTTCATTATGAGAACGCCGATGAACCGTCAGTGAGGATCAGAATGTAGAGCACAGCGCCCCCTGCAGCTCTGCACGTGTGGAGCATCAGGACTTGAGTGTGGGACAAATGGCTTTGGCTTTGTACAAACTGCTCCAATAAACTCATCATGTCACTGGGATTTTCTTCTGTTTTTGTCTCATGTTATTTTTACATTTTTGTCCTGGTTTAGACCTGGTTTAGACCTGGTTTAGACCTGGTTTAGACCTGGTTTAGACCTGGTTTAGACCTAGTTTAGACCTGGTTTAGTCCTGGTTTAGTACTGGTTTAGACCTGGTTTAGACCTGGTTTAGTCCTGGTTTAGTCCTGGTTTAGACCTGGTTTAGTCCTGGTTTAGTCCTGGTTTAGACCTGGTTTAGTCCTGGTTTAGTCCTGGTTTAGTCCTGGTTTAGTCCTGGTTTAGTCCTGGTTTAGACCTGGTTTAGACCTGGTTTAGACCTGGTTTAGTCCTGGTTTAGACCTGGTTTAGTCCTGGTTTAGTCCTGGTTTAGTCCTGGTTTAGACTTGGTATATTTGTAGTACAGATAAAGTGTAGAAGCAGCTCTTGAGGTGAAAAGAAGTCTGCTGTGTTCTGTCTGCATCGAATTATGAAGTGTTTTAGTATCCAACAATCAGAAAGTGCACGAGTTGATGTTCCAACAAAACTCAGCTGTGGCCTGTGAAAGTTGTGGAAGAGTTTATAAAGTCATCGTGGTGAATAATTAGGATGTTCTGAACACATAAGGTCAGTGAGGAAGAACTTTGGAGCTCTGCAAACTGTTTGAAATGAACTAGTGTGGATCTTCACTGACCGTCCCATTCAGTCTCTACGGGGAATTAGCCGTGTCACATAAATCAATCATCAACACAGTGTGGACAGTAAGTTCCAGCTGCAGAAACACTGTCACATGTGAACACCTTTACACATGATGTGAATACTACGTGTGTTTATAAAAGTCTGTGCTTCTGTCTCCAACCTAATGCACAAATGAAACTGAAGGATTCATGTCAAAATAACTGATCAAACCTGCATCCAAAACACACTTTTTTGTTTTTTTTTTGTTTTTAAGAGGACATATAATGCTTAACTCTAACATAAGTAGCTCATGATTTTCCCTTCTGTTCAGTAGAAACCACAACACTGACCTAACAGATTAAAAATAGAAATAGGTCCAGTGACTTCCTGTTTAAAACTACAGATGTGACAGAGTCGCCTCTTCACAGTGTTGTAGAAATGGAGGCGATGCACCTGACAGAGGAATGACAGTTTCAATGGAAAAGTACTGAGTGAAACTGAGGCCAGAGAATTCTAACAGTAAATATGTTTAAGGACATGTTCAAATGTATTTTGTTACAACAACAGAGACATTTCACTGGAACAAGCAGCAGATTTACATTGATGTGTTTTTATTGTTGACCCAGAAACTGTGTTGAAATAAGTGTAACTAAATGGAGGGATTGGAGATGAGGCTTTGTCTGGTTTGATTTCTTTGGATCTCCATTAGTGAGAGCAAAGCTGTTGCTCTTCTTCCTGCAGTCCACACAAATCAGAGCATTACAAAAGACAAGCTACAGTAGAAGCACAAAACACTGTGGAGTCACCTACAGTGTACACCAGTGACACAGTCAGCTTGTCCTGGCTCTTCCCTGGGGCCACCTCAGCCGCTCCACGAGGAGGAGCAGCAGCTCTACTCCAAGCTCCTCCTGTGTGTCTGAGCTCCTCACCCTGCACAGGAAACTCATTGAACCTCTTGGATTATGTCGTTGGTAAAGACTTTAGGGAACGTAAATGTAGAGACGTCAATTTATGTTTTTTCCCACATGCACTTACACGTGCACACACACACACACACACACACACACACACACACACATGCACACAAAGACTGACGACACAGAGAGAGACAGACAGAGACGGAGAACTGCACTAAACATGAATTTATCAAAGACAATTGGAGGAGTTTTAGTGACACAAACACTCCTGAACAAGCAGTGAATATAAAAGTCTGTTGTGGACAATAACCTACAAAACTCTCATTTGTGATTCATTCATTTAAAGAGGGAAGAGAAAACACTTTTTCTAAGAACTGAAGCCTTGAATGAACAAAAATACAGGATTACTCAAACCTGCACTTTTAACAACTTAATACAATAAATAAATACAGTTTAAAATCATAAAAACATTCAAATACATGAGTCTGAGTTTTGCATTTCTTCGTCAGGATGTACTGAAACTCTAAGTCTGACATGTTTAGAGGAAGTTAGAAAGAAACCAAGTGTGAAAGGGAAGAAAGTCTCACAGACATGATGTCTCTGTGCTGTGTTCAGACCTGTGCTTCTCACTCTGACTCTTCTGCTCTGCTCAGGTAAGAGACCATCACCTGTTTAAATGCTGCTGCACTCTTAAACACCACACTGTTTTATACTAATATTGCTGCAGAATCATTGTGGATTGAATCTAGAATGAACAGAATACTAAAGATACTTGTTTGAACCTTGAGCTGAGTCCAGATGAAGAAAGAGTGCAGATGCAGTTCTGCAGAAAACAGCTTGTACTTCTCACCTGGGTAAAGAGTGACACTTGAGTCCACAAAAAAATCTGCAGGAGACAATGTTGTATTTGTCAAAATGGTAAAAATGGTGTTGATCAAAAACCTAAAATGTGCATTTCTTACTTGTACAGTGTGTATGTGTTTGAAATACAACACAAACAAATATAAACATAATTTGTGTTGACTCCTGCATGTTGTTTAATGGAAGTTTAGTTTGACAAAGAGCACAACCCTGACTGACGACTGTGCACCAAGATGCACAACAGTCTGTATTAGTGATTCTATCTAAAGTTGATGAGGAAGTGTCACTGTGATTCATGTCGGAAGCGTCTGAAGTAGCAAAACTAAATTAGGGTGGGGTCGTCTTTTGGAGACTCAGGCTCTAGATCAGGAGTGTCAAACATACGGCCCGGGGGCCGGATCCGGCCCTCCAAGACCTTTAATCTGACCCTGATTTTCTACTAAAATATTTTAATTATATTTTCTATAAAAATATTGGTCATTTCCTGTGGTGCTTGAGCACAGCAGCGTCTCCAGTGTCTCTGTACGTGGCCCCTCCCACCAGAGCAGCACAAATGAAGACTTGTCTCTTTCCAAACGCTCTTAAAGGACGATCGTTTTGACTGTTGACCGTGACACCCTCATCAGAAAAATGTCCAACATGAGAAAAGTGGAGCCGAGTGCAGGATTTTCCAAGAAAAATGGACTTATTCCTATTTGCAAACAAGTTCATGTTCAAACATGTGTTGAAATTGCATTTTTCTTAAAGTTTCAGGTTGTTCACAATATTATAATGTTTTGTAAAAGAAAGAGTTCATCAATTAAAAAGATTTCTGTAATAGATTTGCATTTCTCTGNAGAGATATGCATGCTTTATCGGTGCGTTTGTCTTGTATGCGATTCAGCACTGATCATTTCAGAGTGACCATTTGTGATACATTTGTGTTTGTGTCATAGGGACAAAAATGGGAGACTTATCAAAGTGAAGAAGTTAATGTCAAAAGAAAACAGGGAAAACATGGATTGGGAAAAGAAGGCTCTCCATGTTGGGCATCAAGAGTAAAACATCCACTTAGTGTCAAACAAGAGAGAAGAGAGAAGGGGAAGAAAACCATGAAAGATAGATTTGTTTCATTAGATTTAGAATTTTAAAAGCTGGTGAATTTCTCACTTTTTTAACCTTGAAAAAACATGAATTATTTCTATTCTGAAGTTGCTGAATTTTGCAGTTAACATTTTCAATGTGCATAAAAAATTCAAAATAAAAACCTATTAATCACATATTTTCAAGCCCTCAGTCTAAAGTCAGAGTATAAAATGTGCTGTGAAAAAAATAAACGTGTGCAATTTCCTACTGGGCTTTCTCTTCTGCAGGCATGATTTGCAGTGAAGAAATGAGTTTGATAAGGCTAATATTGGCAAACAAATATTTCCTGTTTGTTACTTGAACTTCAGGATTGATATGCCTTGGTATTTTAGCAAATCTTTTGCACTGCAAATGTTACGCTCTGAATCTAGACAGCTGAATTTGAGAACTGTACATTTAAAACATTAATATTGATTAAAAATAGACCATATTGAAAATGTTGAAAATTCAGCCACTGAAATTCAGAATGAAAGCAATTCCAACATATCTTTTTCAGGGTTAACAAATTCACCAGCATTAAAATTAGGATAAATATGAAACAAATTGTTTTCCATCAAAAACATATAGGTAACTTACTATAATTCAAAATAAAGGATTCTTAGTAAGCTACGATTACCAAGTGTTGGTCAGTGACTCATGTTTACTAAACTGTCCACTCTGCACAGAGAGATGTGTTAATATTTAACCTAATCCACTTGCAGCCATAGAGTTAGTGCCATATGGATCAGTCCATTATATATAACACCTACATACGTAAACTTTCTCATCTTGTACTTTTTTTGATAAAAAAAGGATTTTTTTTCTCTTTACTATTAATTCCAAGTCTGATTTATTAAAGTTTTAACTAGAAAAAATACTTAATAAATATAATGTTACAATAAAATGAATCAAGAATTTTAAACCTGACTCCATCTATTTTTTTCCCATTTTTTATGTTCCAAAAATGGTCAGTTTTGGCTGTTTTACACATAAATAGCTTTTTTTTTTTTTTAATTATAGTTCTACGAAAACAGAACATGATTAAATTCTTGCAATACATTTTTCTTTCACTCATGTGAGTAAGTTTCAAATTGATATCTCTAAATGTATTATGTTTTCATGTTCACAAACAGTGTCTCGGCTTAAGGGAAATTGTTAACCTTCTCACATGGCATGCCATATTTCACTCAATTTGTGTTTTTAAATGTATACTTAAGCCATTATTATTCATTTATTTTCACCTGATAAAACTGATTTCCCCATTGCTAAATAGTATTTCCACATCCCTACCTTTTTATTTATCACCTCACCACTGGGACGGTGGCCAACTGATGAAACACTGAGACCAAATTCCAAAGAATCAACACCATTTTCCTGAAGCATAAATTTAAAGCACACCTTTAAATGCCACGTATATAAAACAAAAGGTAAAATGTATTCATATCTGTCTCACATTTGGCTGTG